GCATCCAGAAATGCAGAGCTCCTCTTATTGAAAACCTGACCTGCACAGACTTTTCTCTCAAAAAAAATGTTCGCTTGTAGGTCCCAAGATGAAAAAAGTCATGAAGTGCCAAAACAATGGCACAAAAAGCTCCCAACAAGAGCACAAGGTAGAAGCCAGGTATTGGTGACTTTAAACAACCTGGGAGACAGAAGTACATGGCAAGCCGAACTCTGGGAAGTAATTAACTATCCTCATCTTATCTGCCGTGTGGGACGTTCTGCACACTGCTTTGTAATTGGGTTTCTGGTCACTCCTCCAGGAGCAATTCCATAACTTACAACATGGGAAATGTATGCCAAACAGGCAACCCCAGTGAAAACAATCCCAAATTGTGGAATGCTATGGAAAGGCACAGAGTCAGGTTCCAGGCAGGAGGAATAAAGGATGAATCATGCTTACCAATCTGAGAACCTTTTATTATAGAATAATTGGCTGGGTAGATGAGGGATGAGCAGTGGATGTTGTCTACCTTGACTTCTGAGAGGCTTTGGATATCTCTCCCACAGCATCCTCATGAGGAAGCTCAGGAAGTGTGAGTTAGATGAGTGGACAGTGAGGTGGATTGAGAACCGGCTGAATGGCAGAGCTCAGAGGGTGGTGATCAGTGGCCTGGAGTCTAATTGGAGGCCTGGTAGCTGGCACTGTCCTCCAGGGGTCAGTATTGGGCCCCATCCTGTTCAATTTATTCATCAGTGACCTGGAAGAAGGGACAGAGTGCCTTCTCAGCAAGTTTGCTGATGATACAAAACTGGGAGGAGTGGTTAATACACCAGAAGACTGTGTTGCAATTCAGAGGGACCTGGATAGGCTAGAGATGGGTGGAGTGTAACTTCATGAAGTTCAACAAAGACAAGTGCAGGTTCCTACACAGAGTGGGGAATAAGCACCAGCACAGCCTGGGAGGTGACCTGTTAGAGAGCATATCTGCAGAGAACAACCTGGGAGTCCTGGTGGGCAAGGCGTTGACCATGAGCCATCAGTGTAGCTCATCAATCCCCAGTATAGGAGGAACATCATCTCCTTTTGCTCTGCATGCAAATGAAAATGAGAATTGAGACGAGTAATACAATGGCCCAGAGCATCATACAGAACCAAACAACACATAGGTACCCCTTCCCAGAACCATTAACAGTTCACTCTGCTGACACAAAGTATAAGCGAGAATTACAAACTGTTCTGTTAAAGCAGAGAACGTCGTAATTTCTTTTATAAAGCTTTTACTGGAGAAGTAAAACTGAACCATTAGAGCAGATGGACTTAAGCAAGAGGAAGAATGCTCCAGATGATACATCCACTTCTTTATGTTACACAGTAAAGAAAAGAATTACATGGGGGCAGAGAAAACTGAGATGAATCAGACCATGAAAAGAGACACACTGCTGTCGAGACTAAGGTCATAAAGTAACCAAGAAAGAACAGGTCTGGTAACAGAGAAGAGTTGAAAACAGGCTAAAACCATGTATGGATAGCTTAAAAAAAAAAAGGCAGCAATATATCAAAGGAGGTCATCTTGCTGAGAAAAAGCAAAAGGGGAAATGAAACGTCAGGCTCACACCAAGCTCGATGACAGGAGAAGCTTTGAGTGAAAAAGAAGAAATGCAATGGGTACTCCACACCAAATCAGAAAAGGAAACAATTGGAGCTAGAATTCTCAAGCTGGAAGGAATTCTGGTGAGAAGGGGGTTCTCTTCACAGCATATGAATGTCTTTGAAAAGTCCTGCAGTGAAATCTAAATACTGTAGTAGTAATGTACATTTATAATAAGAATAAAATTGTATATGGGGGTAGTAGCTTACTAGTCAACTGGGAATGAGTTGAAAACTCAGAATTTAGGCTTGGGTAAGATTTCTGCTTTCGAAGCTGCAGTGGGTGGCTAGTCATAATGAAAATGAAACGTCATCACAGCAGGTTTTGGAAAATGGCAGGGAAACAAAATCCACAATCAGAACCATGATGTCCTTTCTTTCAGAAAAGTCCATGTGCAATCAATTAAGTCTTTCCATATCTCCTGCAAGAAAGGAAACTCTGATTTGCCTCATCAAACCGTACATAAAGGACTCTGGTTCATGTATTTGAAACATGTAACATGAAAAGGGTACGGGGCACACATAAGAGTTCGGTGGAGGGTTGAAAAGAGGATGCTGTTTTAGGTATCCGTAAATAGACTAGTAAATCATAGCGTTTTAATCAGCATGAAATTAATGGAGAAAGAGCAAAGCTGTGAATCTCAATACACTTTAACAGTGACAGTTCTACAAAAGTTTGATTAATATGGAAATTTCAAGTCTGTGAGACTGCAGACTAGAGTCTGAAAAGATAAATCCATAATGAAGTCTACATCATTCCAGAAAATATCCCTGGGATACAACAAAATTTTTAAAAAGCACTTTCAGAGATGAAACCAGCAATCGAAAGGGAGGATTAAGCTTGTCTGGAAGAACACATTCAGATACTTTTTGAAAGACTTATGGTGACATCCTGAAGATCCAGAGGAACAGGCAGGAGAAAGACCACTTCTCCTTAAGAAAAAGTGTGGTGTGAATGAACACTGGGTAGTGGGAGAAAACAAAACCACTACAGAGCTCATGTAGCAGATGAATCCTAAAAGAAAATGATGATTATGATGGAAATAACCCTGTGCCACAACCCTGTGGCATGTGCTCTAGGTGTCCCTGCTTAAGCAGGGTTGTTGGACTAAATGATCCCTAGAGGTCCCTTCTAACCTCAATCATTCTGAGATTCTGTGAAATATTACCAAAAATTATTCTGTAGACTTTGAGCAGTATTTCTATTGAGTTCAACAGCATACTATCTGAAAAGAATCAATGGAAAACGAAATGAAAGGTTTAGCATCGTGGTAATCAAAAACTTATCATTACCCTACAGAGTCTATAAAAGCATTTGCTAAAACTGATCAAGAGCCTACTTTATAAAAATAGTTACTACATGAAAAATAACATGCAACAGTTACACCAGTAAATATTCACACCATGGTAATAGCTCAGATTTGCACACCAATTTCCTTCCTCTATGCAAACACAGAGGTAGAATGTAATCTGTTACAAGACTACATGTATCAAACAGCAATGAACTTGGGCATTACTTGGGCATATACTACTTCACAACAACCCTGTAAAAGACTGCATGCTGTTTATCTGCTCCAGGTCTAGCACTGAAGAAATAGTCTGAGATTTAGTCCTTTGAATGAAAATTGGCATATATGTATTTTCAAAAAGTCACTGTAAAAAAAAAGTATAAATTAGAAGCCTCACTTAGAAGCAGTTATTCTCACCTGAGTCTTCAAGGACTGTATTCACTGTACTCATTCAAACACATGATAGATGGGCACTGCAATGGTCCTTATCAAACAGATTAGTTTCATTGCTTTCTTGGAGAGAAGTTCGAGAAAGAAAAGTTTGTGGATTGAGAACTGGCTGCATGGCAGAGCTCAGAAGGTCATGATAAATGGGGATGAGTCTAGTTGGAAGCCTGTGACCTGTGGTGTCCCCCTGATGTCAGTACCGGACCCAGTGCTGTTCAACTTGTTCATCAGCAACTTGGAGGAGTGGACACAGTGTACCCTCAGCAAGTTTGCAGATGATACCAAACCAGGTGGAGCGGCTGACACTCCAGAGGGCTGTGCAGAGGGACCTGGATGGGCTGGAGAGTTGGGAAGAGAGGAACCTCATGAGATTCAACAAGGGCAAGTGCAGGGCCCTGCACCTGGGGAGGGACTAACCCAGACACCAGTAGAGATTAAGGACTGACCTACTAGAAAGCAGCTCCATAGACAGGGATTTGGGAGTCCTGGTTGACAAGAAGTTAACCGTAAGTCAGTAAGGTGGCCTTGTGGCCAAGAAGGCCAATGGGATTGCAGCCTGCATTAGGAGGAATGTTGCCAGCAGGTTGAGGGAGGTGAACCCCTCTACTCAGCTCTGGTGAGGCTGCACCTGGAGTATTGTATGCAGTTCTGAGCTCCCTCGTACAAAAGGGATATGCAGCTTCTAGAGAGGTGCTCAGCATAAGAGCAACGAAGATGATTAAGGGACTGGAGCATCTACTGTAGGATGAAAAACTAAGCAAGCCAGATCTGATTACCTTGAAGAGAAGATTGAGAGGAGATCATATCAACATGTACAAATGCCGGGGGGAGAATGTAAAGAACATGGGGCCAAATTCTTCTTGGTGATGGCCAAGGGGTAATGGCTATAAATTAGAACACAGAAAGTTCCATCTCCATATGAGGAAGAACTTCTTTACTGTTAGGGTGACAGAGCAGTGGAACAGGCCGCCCAGAGAGGCTGTGGAGTCTCCTTCTCTGGGGGTCTTCAAAACTTGCCTGGATGCGACCCTGTGCTACATACTCTAGGTGCCCCTGCTTGAGCAGGAAGGTTGGACTAGATGATCTCTAGAGGTCCCATCCAACCTCAATCCTTCTGTGGTTCTGTGAAAGAATGCAAACATTAAAAAAAAAAACTTGAAAAATTGTCACTTCTCCTACTTCAATTACATGGTTGTATCACATACATGTTCAAAGGCAATCTTGTGTTTTCCTCTGACAGTGTCTGTTTAACAATGAAATTGGGCTAACATGCGGTAACGTTATTTTAGCTGTACCACATCTGTCCTAATAAATGATTTGCAGCCTTTTTAAATATAAATGAGCAAAACAGAAAATAATGAAGTAATCCAATCTTATTGACTTTACTGTAAAAAAAGAGCCTTTGTTAATGGGAATATAACTAAGTGCATTATGGGTATTTATTAGGATTGTGTTTGCACACTGTTTTAGGGCCTGATCCAGAACATCCCATGCAAATAGTCTCACTGGTGTCAACAGGCTCTTCCCACAGGAGATAAGGATGGAAGAGATGAAGAGCCTTTGAATGGCCAGTGACGAATTCACCCTTTTAATCACAGTGTAATCAGCAGCCACCCACAAAGCACCTTGGCATACCTGTGGCACAAAGGGCGATAAAAGTTTGTGCATGCTTCCGGATCAGAAGTAACTTGTCTTTAGGTAGAGGCAACTTCCTCAGAATGTGTTCAATGAAATCGTGTGGAGTGATGGCAGCAAGATTCCACTTCAACTTTCCCAACACCACAAGCTCCCATTCCTGGGCATGGGTGGAAGAAGAGAGAAAGAGAAAAAAAAAAAAAAAAAACCACATAAGCAAGCCTGAAAAAGTAGTTTTTTAATTCATTTTCATGATTATAATTATGCCTCCACTAAAATGATTTTGCTCATTTTTTCAGTTTGCCTCTACCCCTTTGAAGTTGTTGACTTTACTCTTATTCATTTAAAATAAATAAATAAATAAATAAATATGTCAAGCCATGCTGAAAATAATGAGACCTGGCAGCTCCAGCCAAGATTTTGCTTTTTCAGTATCCAGTGCTTACTGCCCACCCAGAAAGTTTAGCCTGCAACTGCATATTGCCAAGGTCATTGTGGTCTTTCCTAATAACCTCTTTTAAATGGCTAGAGTCCTTACTTTATAGCCATTTAAAGCCCTAGGGATGACTGTGCACAATAAAAATAACAAGATATACATTCTTTCTTCAAAACAGGGGAAGTTAGCTTGATGACATTCTCTCAAAAGCTATTTTCAAAGAGCATCTGCAGATAAATCTACTGCAGATTAATCCACTCCAAGGTACGCTGTACAGAAAGGAACCGAACACTGCCAAGTAGTATCCTGTATAAATTACCTGTCAATAAAGTATGTAGAATCTGATCTCATACTCAAAGCTCTCAGTGAAATAAAAAAAAAAACTTAGGTGCATATTTAAAGGCTGACCATTCCCTGAAATGCAACTACATGTAAAAATGGTACCTAAAAAACAGATCTGACCAAAGCATCCAGACAGGCCTGGATCTGCATACCTCAGAACAAGTTTTGAATACCTTACAGTGCCCCGGAGAAGGAGCAAAGCTCCAGCCTTGGACTCGTTTCTGTCTCATGCATCAACTATTAGCTATTAACTAAATTCCATGTCCTGATTCTTGAATCCTGATGATGCGTTAGCCTGATGGAGCCCAGCATGACAGCTAAGTCTGTAGAGCTGGCAAGTCAAAAAGAAGCATCCTTTAATTTTGCAGCTGAGAAGACATCAACCGGTGCTGTTGAGACACCATAAACATGAACCTCACAATGCCATTTCTGCAGCCGTTTCTCTGAATAGATGCCCAATTTAACATCAAGTTTGCTTCCTACATATAATCTTCTGGATTATAACAGAGCCCACAAAAGCTTCAACAGAGCCAGAGCTTCAAAATCTCACAACTGTGTGTGTAACCAGCCCCAGAAAACGGATGTTCATTGAGAGAAAAGAGAGAGAGGAGAAGCAGAAGAGAATGGGAAGGAAGAGAGAAAAGAGAGCGAAGTTTTAACATAAGGAAAACTACATGACCTAAGGACTCATCTTCTCAACATTATTAACAAGGCAGGCAAGAGTACAGAAAAAATGCCTAATCCAGAATGATGGATACAGTGATGCACTTAAGCATGTTTAATTTCATGTGACACAGAAACATAGGCACATCTTTACAAGTCTTCTTGCACCAGGGCCAGTGTTTCCTGTAACAGTTGGTCCCATCAGCAGAACACCTAATGTTTGTGACAGCCATGGCAGAGTTTGCAATACAAAATTCTTTATTCTGCAGCAGCCCAAGTTTCCAGCCCCTCCCAGTGGGGAATTCCCACTGACTTTGCTGAGTGATTCATAGGAGAAATTCTCATGGGATTCAACTCACTACGCATATTCACTAGAATCTGTGAGAACAGACTGAATGTACAGTTCATCAAAAAGCTTAATATTTGCAAGATGTGCTACATACTCGCATGCTTTGCAAATATTAATTATTGCCTCAAGTGATTTCAATTACTTCTGCTTTTACTATGTCTGATCTGATCTTGAACTGCTCAGTGAGGCAAAGTGTTTCATTTGTAGCCAAGTTCACCGTGCTGGATTTTCATCCTGCCTCCTGCCTAGCTGATAACCTACTGGTAGTCATACTCACAAAAGCTGCCAGATCAAGGCCACAACTTCACTGTGGCTAAGGCGGCTCTCAGACCACACTCACTCGTTGTGCAGTGTGCGGGCCCTGACCCTGCTCAGACTACGTGCTCTGAGGAAGAATCTCGGGGAGCCCGCGGCGACAGGCTGCACAGGGCTCGGCTTGCTCCCGCGCTGCGGGCAGGAGTGCGGCAACCGCGCGGGGGCGGCGCTGGCAGCGCTTCAAGGCGTGAGGTCACGCCCGGCCGCGCGTGGCTGCCGCCAGGTGGCGCCGCGGCGCCGCCCCACGCGCGCAGCGCCCCCTCAAACCATGAGCACACACACAGCATGCACACACAACTATGCGCGTGTGTGTATATGTGTGTGTGTATGCATACATACACACAGAGCATACATACACACACATACACACACCCCTTTGCCTCTCCTGGCGTGGGAGTAGTGGGGGGAGGGCCAGGGGAGAGGAGAAGGACCTAAGAAAAAAAACTTGCCAGATCCCTTCCAGAAGCACTTCCGAAACTGCTGTGCCAAGGAACTGCATGGCAGAAGAGGCTGCATATTGTGCAGGAGGGCAATTTGGGAAAGTTAGAACCAGTCCTTCCCACCAACGAACCAAGGAATCATGCGCCTGCAGTTTTGGATTGACTCTTAATCAGGCACATGGGTGATTTAATGCTTTTCACAATTTGTAACCACAATTGGTTTTTAAAAAAAAAAAAAAAAAAAGAACATGAAAAGCTTAATTTTAAAGGGGGGAGGATGGCACACAATAGGATGGTTTGTTGTGGGAGGAAGGGAGAGAGAAGGAAAAATTGTCAGTCAGAGGTTGGGGTGCGTCAAAGGTGGAAGGGGGCTGCTTACCAGCAGCTCTTGGGGTTTGATGGAATTGTCCGTATATATGCACAGTTTCTCTGCTGTAAGGGGGATTGTCTCTTTCAGCTTGGACGCCAGGAACATGCACACTGCCCCCAGCAGCTGCAGATGGCACTTTCGGGTGGGCACCACAGCTAAGAATCTGTCCAAGTAATTCATGGCCAAAGGGAAAACTTCTTCTTCACACTTCTGCTCTTCGCAGACCTGCAGGTGAGGAGCATGGCAGTGGGGGGAGGGAAGAGAATGAGAGATGAGAGAAAAAAAAATAAATGAATGATGCCCCCAGAATAATGGGATCTAAAACACGGGTTGTGCTATGTTTTGTTTCCCAGAGAGCTAATTTTAGGGGGAGGGGGAAATCTCTGCAGAGGCTGGGATGGCTGTCAATCAGCCTGCACATTCCTTTAGTTCATTCAGTAAGAAATGAATTCAAGACACTGTGTGGGAGAGCCAAAAAGCCTCAAATTCGTCAGTGAGCTGCTTTTTTTCCCCACTCCATTTTTCTTTTATTTCGTCATATTTTCAAAAATTCTATAAAAATATCTCCATTGCCCCGACAATCTCAGTTTTAGTCCCAGCAACATCCCAGGGTAATCTCCCATCGTTTCCGACAATTGCAAAAATTCCCCCGGGGAGTGTCCCTCAGCCCCACGCCCGCGATCTGCCGAGAGGGGGAGGAGGCAGACAGAAGACAGTGAGGGCGAGGTGGGGTGGAGAGAGCTCGAGGGGCCTGGATCTCTTCAGGGAGAAAAATTAAAAAAAAAAAAAAAAAAAAAAAAAAAAAAAAAAAACAGGCTAGCAAGAAGTACAAAACACAAATGAGGGGGGAAAAAAAAAAAGTGAAGGATCTGATCTTCTCAGACCCAAGGGGGTAGGTCTGGAAAAAGCACCCCCGTCCTCCGCGAGGAGAGCCGATGGGGTAAATGATGATGGTGGTGCCAGGGCAAAGCAGCTAAGTCTGCAGGGAAATGGCCCCACAGACATCCTGAGTTAAGTTTTGGGAGGGTGTTGGCTCCCTATGGGGCTGTCCGACTGGCAGCCACTGGCCAAGCTAGGGAATGCAGGGCTGAGGGACTATTTACGTGCCCCTTCTTGGAGAGGCCAGGAGGAGACGGCCCAGCGCCTCTAGGCAGAGTTGCATGCAGCACAACATGGCGAGGGGGAGAAARAAAAAAAAAAAAAAAAAAAAAAGGCACGTGCTAACAGCTGTATACGTGGGCACTGAAACACCGAAATACTTATGAGGCAAAATGTAGGTGACACTGACCACCTTCTTTCTCTCGCTCTGCCCTGGGGGCCCTTCTCTTCCCGCAAAAAAGTCACAGCCTCTGGTGCTGCAGCCGCCGAAAACCGGAGGCGGCATTTCTTTGCTTTTTTAATTACCAATGCCTCTTCCACCTCTCCCTTCCTCCACCCCTGCTTCCTCCTTGCCTGCACCCCGCTTTACAGGAGGCACCCCCCACAGACGCCATTCCCACCACAAACTGCGAGATGTGCCCCTTCCCCCACAGCGCCCAGGCGGGCGCCGGCAACCCCAGCAGGGAGAGGAAAGAGAGAAAAGAAGCGGGGGAGGAAGGTTGAGAGAGAAAAAAGAAAACTCACCCACCCTCGCGAGCGACTGGCGAGTAGGAAGGGGCAGCAGGGAGCGGCTGCGCCGCCCGAGAAGGGCAGCCTGTGGGGCTCCGGGCAGCCCCGTCCCAAAGCAGCGCGGGGAGAAATTAAGGGAAATGGACGCCCCCAAAGACAAACCTCTAGCATCCAAGTGGCCACCATCCTCCTCATGAACGGCTGAATGTCCTTTTGCACGCATTTGAAGTAGGAGCATTGGGGCAGATACCTCTCCTCTATGGTTAATAAGTTGTGCAAAACGCGATCATCGTAGAGCAAGTTGGAGTCGGGCAGCGCTCTTTTCATGGGGTCCACCTCGCAGCACAGCAGCTCCATGTTTCCAAAGAGATCTCCCTCTTTCTCTGATAGAAAAGTTTTTTTTTCTTTTTTTTTTGGGGGGGGGAGGAGGGGGTGGGGAGAGGGGTAAAGGAGGAGGGGTGGGAAGGAGGAAGACGGCAGGGCTTCCCAGTTTGCTCCTGCCTCACTTGAAACTCCTCTGTCTCTTGATTTCTAGCCCAAAGTTGAAGCAAAGTGACGCAACTCGCCAGGATAGGCAGTTCTCTCTCGTTATTATGGAGCACAGCAGCTGGTCAGACGTAATATCAAACTTTTTTTTTTCCCCTCCCCTCTCTGTAAGCTAACAAGAAACCATGAGGCCCTTGTGTTGGACACACACGTACACAAATGACAGCTTCTCTTTTTCTTTCTTACATGGATCAGACTTCAGCGACAAGAAGCCTGAATCTATAGCTATTTCTCCCCTACTCTTATTACAAGAAAGAGTTCCCCCCGTACTCGTCGACATTATGTGGGCTGGGGATGCAATGTCTGCCTCGGCGAGGTGCCAGAGGCACTCCTTCCTTCCCCTCTCCCCTCTCTCCCTCCCTCCCTCCCTCCCTCCCTCCCTCATCCCCTTAATCTGCAGCCCAGGGGAAAGAGCTCATTATGGACTAAAAGCAAACCTGAAGATCCGACAGCTTCTTGGGAGCTGCGTTCTGCAGTGCTTTCAGGGCGAAAGCTAGTAATAATCACAACGTTGCTTCTGCCAGTATATATGCATATTGCTAGCAGCCAAGCTGTTTTACCACTGCAGGGTCACACTCATAAAGCCTTCTAGAAAATGCAGCGGGGGAAGGTGAGAGACTGAACGAGGGAGGGAAGGGAGCCTACCACGCACTCGGTGACTGCCACCGCCTGCGCTCTGCCCCGCTACGCGGTCGCTCTGGGGAGGAAGGCGGCCCTAGCACAGCAAGCAGCCGTTTGTGCGTGCTCGCGTCGCTCCGGCGGCCGGCCATACCCCCGCTGCCTTTCGCACAGGGCCTGGGCGCTCGGCTGCACCCCGAGGAGCACCTCCGCTGCCTACCTGTTGGCCCGCGCAAAGCCTCCTAGAAAGCGTGTCAACTTTGCGCGGTCTCTGCCGCAAGCCTGCTAAGAGGCAGAGAGGCTCCCGCGGAGGATGGAGCTGCCCACTGTCGGGCACGGGAGTTGCCGGGGCACAGCCAGGACACTGCTCCGCGATACCTGCGAGAGCTTCTCTCCAGACTCAAATCACTCACACCAGCCCCCCCCGGCCCCTTTTTTCCTTCCTCTTGTCCCGGCGCCGCCGTGGGGGTCGCTGGCCTCGCAATACCACCTTAAAGGCGGGAGCGCGGATTTTAGGGCGCCACCTCCTTCCTGCGATTTGCATAGCCAATAGCTCCGGCGCTCCTGCTGCTGCGCGCTGGCGGTTACCGGGCAGATTATATTTTAAGGACACCTAGTGCATGGCATCAGAGGCGGACAGTGACGGCTACGCTCAGTTTTTCACCTGGAGATAATGGCTCTGTCTCCCCAGCACTTTAGCCAACGGAAGCGAGAGATGGGACTGGCTTCGCCATGTTTCGCATCCTCGCGGAGTGCAGGCAGGAGGACTCCTGGCAAAAAGCGTCTGGGACGGCCCCTCACCCAGCCAAGTCGTTTAAGCCTGTCGGAGCCAATAGCTACTTCGTCTTCAGAAAGTCACCAAGAATTGCCCTGGGCCGGGACAGCCTCAGGGTGCCGCTAACAGCATTTCCTGACCGCATACATATTTCCTTCTCCTCCCGTCCCTCCTCCCCGCATACCATCCCCTCCTGGAAGGGAGCTGCTGCCAGGCGCCGAGCGCCTTCCGTGAACTGCCGCACACCATGTGTGGGCCCTCGTACCCCCAGGCCAGGAGCTTGTCGAGAACGAGCCCGCAGCAGGAGGCACTAGGAAACCTATATGGTAAGGGTCGCTCTTTACGACGGCGAAGGAAGGGGCATCCCCCGCTGCCCGTCGAGGGCGGCGAGCGCCGGCTGTGTGGCGTGCTCCGCGAGGAGAGACTCTTTGGCTTCCAGCATTCACTTCTCTTTCCTTGCTATTCCTGAGATCAAGGAGTGTGTTGTGTCGGTGCACATTTTCCTTCTCCAAAGTTAAATTCAGAAGCGCTCCCTTCAGACTTTCTAGCTCGACAATGCCGCGATTGTGATTTACGGGGTTCTCGCAGGGGGCGTCCACCGTCTGCTCTAACTGCCCAGCACTGACCTTCCAAAGAGGGTGATGTCCGGGGCACGGCACGGCCGCCGCCGACGGGAAACTGCCGTGGGGCAGTCGTGCAGGGGCGGAAGCGATGGGATGCACGCCAGTGGACAGGGGGGCATCCTGGGGTACGGAAGGGAGGGATCCCATTAAAAAGAAATAACATCCTCGGTGGAAATAAAACGCCAATTCTATACGCAGATGTGCTGTGCCCCTGCAGAGACGTCGTGAGAAAACCCTTGCCGGTTTCGGCGGTTTTTACGCTCGGTGCCCACTCTCTCCGCCGGCTCCGGGCGGCGGCACCACTGCCCCACGGGTGGAGGGAGAGGGTGGGGCGGCGTGTGCCCTGCACCCCGTGCCGAGGAAGCCGCGCGCCTCGTCCCCATGGCCTGCGACGCGTGTGTGTGTGTGTGGAGACAGCAGATGTTTTAGCAGCCTTCGTGTAGAGATTACCGAGTGCCATATGTTAAATATCCATCCTTCCTTCAGGGAAAACAAAAACATTTTCTCATTTTCCATCAGTTGCTTCAGCCATTGAAAAGCACAAATGATTAAATCAAACACCGTCAGTAAATGATTTCTTGTTGTTTTTCCCTTTAATCCCGTTGGTACCACGACGCCAGCTCCTGGAGAGGTGGTTCAGGTCGAGCCGGGGGGGACATTCCCGGCGGAGCTGCGCAGCGCGCGCCGCGGAGCGCCTGTTTTCCCGGGAAAACAGCACTGCGGTTTCTCCGCGCTTCGACACGCTGCGCGGCCCGACCGCGGGTGCTGCCCAGCTCCCAGCCCCGCCGCGGTTGCCCAAGGGGTGATCACTCGTTCGCTGGAGTTGAGATTCCAACCTTGGTCGGTTTGCCGCGATGCCTCTCGCCTCTGCTCTTACTCAGTAAAATGACCGGCAGTTATTGAAAAATCTGTCAGATGCAGTGAGATTTTGCAGGTGTTAGACAACTCTGCAAAGCATGCCTTTTTTTTTTTTTTTTTTTTTTTTTTTTAACTTTCCCTCTTTCAGAAGATGACAGAGAACTGAAGATGCTTTAGGGGACAGTCTTGGATCATACTTTGCATTTGAACCTCAGACCAGTAGGCACATGGTCTCAGACACATACATATTCGTACATGAATAAAATCTCTGAAACACAGGTTTTTGTTCGTTTGTTTTTTAACGAAATAAGTGTTTTCTTTCAGTGCTTGAAACCTGAGGACAGGAGTGTGAAACCTGAGAATCTGAAAGTGAAACTGATGGAAAGCCAAAAAAGGAATAGATGTTTCCATTTTCCAAGCGAAAGGAAAGCCTTGAAAGCAAGCAAACACCATGGATACTATGTTGTATATTACATTTAAAGGAAAATGATTCCAGCTTCAATCAATGGAAGCAGTGTCATTTTGTTTTATTTTTAAAATCTCTTATTTACTCGACTCCTCTTATTTACTTACTTGAAGTTAAGTTCCATGCTGTGAATTAAACAGGAACAGCATGATGCAAAAATATCCTTCTTTTCTCTGTTTTTCCTAATTAAATTTTGAGAAAGGATTTAGATAAATAGGAAATGCTGCATGTATTTTCTAGGAATTTCATCCTGCCCGTGTATTTTCAATTAGTTATTTTTAATTGTACTGTCAATTTTCAACTCTAAGTGTTGTGGGAGCTGTATCTTTGGTATCTACCTTAAGCAACATGATGGCTGAGCAGCTGAAATATATCTTCTAATAAAACCATACTTGCCTTGGTAGGAGGATGTAGGCACAACAGTTACAACATTAACTAAAGAATTCTGGGTAATCAATTTTTTAATGAAATACTCTCTTCTGTTACATGCAAAGATTTATTATTATCGTTTTTCTTAGTTTTGTTCCTTTTAACTTCTTTAAAGAAGTAACTTGCAGCTATTGTTTGCATAATGCCCAATGTAAGATGTGTATAATTTCAGTCAAAAAAGTCTATGTTAGGTGATATTGGAAGGCACTCAAAGAGCTATGAAAATGACCAAATGGAAGTCATATCTTGTACTGGAAGACTTCGCAAGTTCATAACAACCCTTGGACACTTCAGAGGTTGACATGAACATAATCATAGAGAAATACAGAGAGATTCAGAATGACAGAGGTGGCAGTGGTGCGTATGACAAACTGAACTTTCCAGGTACAAGTTTTAATAACCCCTTTATATTGAATTTAGGCATCATCTTTTGGTAGATGGTGGTAACATCTAAAAACAGTATTCCACTGCAAACTTAGCTGTAAAGTCGAAGCAAAAGTTACTACCTGGGGTTCTGTGTATTACACACACACATACACAAAAAATAGAGGCAGTCCCTGTAACATCTTCTGGCCTTAAGACCAGAGTTACGGTTGCTCTCACTACGCAGGGGACGTGGAGATTTTTGTCTTTCCTAACTCTCTTGGGGCCACAGCCTTATCTTGCCTGGGTGCCATGTGCTTCAGTGAGTGCTGCAGGCTTGATCATCTCCTTGGTGAACTCAGTGGTAAGGCTGTCATGTATTTACATGGAGCAGCTGCCTCCTACACACTAGGAAATCATCTGAAACAGCACTTAACATTTGCATGGGATTGCACCCTTGGTATGCAGCATCTTACATAAATATTGTCATTCTTTTTTTTGAGAAACTGTATGAGGAGAAGTTGCATCTTGGAGCTGATATTTGAAAGGTTGAGAACAAATTCTGAGAAATTACAGCTATGTAAAAATAATAATATAATATAATATAATATAATATAATATAATATAATATAATATAATATGGCAGAATCTCACAGTGAAATAATATCATTTTTTCCCCTTTTGCTCTGCTTATGAATCAGCAGG